TCTTGTATTCTAGAGACTTGCCTAAAAAAAAAAAGACTAGCAAGCGCAACGAAGGATCACTTGTATTATTTAATTATAAGTGCAGTTGAAATTTGAAGAAATGAGAAAGAGTATTTAACTAAAGGAAATGTTGTCCAAGCATGATTACAAGTCAAAAGTCATGAATTGGACACCACTTGATAAATTTGAAAAGTTTAACCCCTCTTGCCTAATTTGAAAGACAAATAGCACATTTGCCAATATTTTTGTCATGTGTTCCATACAAAATCGAATTGAGGGATTCAAGACTTGAAAAGTTAAGAGAGATTTTTTTTTGTTTTTTTTTAATCTTTTGAGTTTCCAAATATCTTTTATAATCTTTTGAGTTTTCAAAGATTTGGAAGATATAATGTTCAAAACCGAACATGAAGTTTATGCCTATGTATAATTTTCAAGAAAAATTGCATATTTGATTTCTGAGTTATACTCAAGTTCCGACTTAATCCCTGAGTTATGACCATATTTATTTTTGGTCCCTTAGTTATGAATGAAGTGGTGCATTTGGTCCCTGACTGTTAAAACTTACGGAAAAATTAAAAAAATTTAAAAATTGAGGGGTAAAGTAGAAATTTCACATTTTATTCTCCTTCTTACATCAAAATCACTTTCACAACATTACTTTTTCACTTATTAGCCTCTTATTCCAAGATTGTTCAATTCTAAAAGCATTTCAATAACTTTAGCATAACTTGTTAGGAACTTGGCTCTCGTATAACAAACTTAAAGCTTAGCGCAAACAAAGAAAGACTTAATCGTTGTCTTCAGACGTGTAAAACACACTATCCTATCAATTTTCAATTTTCTTTACTAAGCAACAAAGGTAATCAAACCATAAAAGATACAAAATGATGTCAAATTTCTCAGGTTGCTTTTATGATAAATTCAAGGAATAACTTGAGATTTTTTGTCTGTAAATTTTTTTCATATGCAGTAGTTTAGTCAATAATAATTTTTAGAAGTTATAAAAGTTTTTAAAATTTTCATAACTTCGTCTTAGATACCTCATTCATTACTCTTGTTTTTAAGAAGACAAAGGAGGTGACATATATATATATATATATATATATATATATATATATATATATATATATATATATATATATATATATATATATATATATATATATATATATATATATATATATATATATATATATATATATATATATGTTAGTGTTTTTAATGTTCAAAAACCCCATATTATAATTGGCGATATTATTATGGCATAACTAAGATAGGTTTAGAGTTTGTCCGTCCAGCTCTACAGTCAACTGATCAATCAGAAGCAACAACAAAAGGACTGACACTGAAGATCTGATTTAGGAAGCTGATTTCTAAAAGTCTTACGCGGTATTATCAGAAAAGTTTGGAAAGAAGATCAACGTATATTTTCAAGAAAGGTATGGACCTAATCTTCTGAGATTACATTCCTCTTTTATAGTCTTACCTTCTACAATCAAAGTCTTTTATGGAGAGAGTTTATTGAAGAATCTATAAGTATCCTCACTCGAAGAGATTTAGGGTTACGCCGAAAATATGAAGAAACACTCCCCATCTGCTATATGAGATTAGATCTTTGATTGTCATGTATCTTCTCAATATAATATGTTCATGGTGATTAAGATGATGAACTTGAGAAGAATCACTGCTGCTTAAACGAAAGGACACTGTGATCACACTGTTGTGGGAACAACTATAAAGAGCGTCATTGAAGTGGACTGCATCAGAGTGGGCTCTCCAAGTGAAGGGATTTCATTGGACTTCTATATGCATGGCTCTCCATCTTCAACAATCCACTAAACCTGTGTAGACTGAGTTTGTACCTTGTGTGGGGCACTTGGGTAAGATTATTGTATATCTACCTTTGTACATTGGATTATGATTTAGTGGATTGGACGCCTATGTGATCGTCCCCCAGACGTAGATACACACTGTATCGAACTGGGTAAATATTCTGTGTCGTTGGGTTTGTGCTCTTATCTTTCTCTTATATCTTCTCCACCACTTATTATTACTGACTGACTTCTTAACTGAATCAATCAGTAATCTCTGACAGTTACTTAATTCTGTTAATCTATCTAAAAAGAGAATATGCAAAATTACATGTGGTATTAGAGCTTTTAAGTCTACATAGTGACTTGATCCGACAGGTTGTTTTTAGTTTTGCATTCTCTCTGTCTTTCGTAAGTTTTTTTCTGTGTTCGTTGGCTGGTTGTTTGTATTCAGGATGGATGCAAGTATGAAACCACCAGAACTAGATGGTCATAACTACTCTTTCTGGGAGGCTCGCATGGAGATATATTTTCAAGCACAAGGTACCAGGGTTTATCGTACTGTCCTAACTGGGTGGAGTCGTCCCACTACTCAGAATGCACAAGGAGTTACTGAAGATAAGCCCATGGAGACTTGGACAGACGATGAAATGAATGCCTCGGATCTAAACAACAAGGCATTGAATTCAATTGTAGGATCTTTGCATGAATTTGTATTTACTCTTGTCACAGGAGTAAAAGAGGCTAAACGAGTTTGGGAAATTCTTGAAACCAGATTTGAAGGAACTAGTGATGTCAAACAGTCAAAGCTACAAATGGTTTTGTCAGAATTCGAGGCACTCAGAATGATTGAAGAAGAAACCATTTCGACCTTCCACAGTAGGGTTCAAAATCTTATGAACCGAGCCTCAATCCTTGGACAACCTTTCACTGATGAAAGAGTGGTCAAAAAAATCCTTCGATCTTTACCTAAACGCTTTCGAATGAAAGTAACTGCTATTCAAGAACACACAGGTTGGGAAAAGAAGACTGTCGGAGAACTTATGGGAAGCTTACACACATATGAACTAGAAGTTCTTGCTGATGATGATCTTGGAAGCAATAGAAAAGGAAAGTCAGTGGCCTTTGTGGCTGAGGCTGATCGAGAATCTGACACAGACGACATAGATGATGAAACCTTGGCTCTTCTAACCAAAAATTTCAAGAAAATCTTAAAAGGTTTCAACAGAAAGGGACAAGGTCAGTCTACTAGGACACAATACAAAGGCAACAACTCCTCATATCAAAAGGCTGAAACATCACCTTTCTCTCAGAACAATCAATCTCAGACTGGTCGAACCAGACAAAACAGAAACAGTTCCACAGACACAGGTAAATCTCTCAACCGGTCAGTGCAGTGTAGGGAATGTGAAGGATATGGACACATACAGGCTGAATGTGCAACGTATCTCAAAAGGAAAAAGGCTTTGTCGGTAGCTACTTTAAGCGATGATGAGGAGGAAACATCAAACGATCAGTCAGATGATAATGTGGGAAACTTTGTAGCCTTCTTTACTGCTACAGACCTTCAGTCAGACAAAGATCAATCAGATGAAGAATCGTACATATTGATGTTATCACATCTGTGCTTGTTTTTATGGTTATTTTGAATCATCACAGTAATTAAGCTCTTTAATTTTGCTTATTTAATACATGTTTTCCTTGCTATTATCATTTAATTATGGTTCGCACTTGTTTTGAATATTTATGGTGTTTGTTAGTGTTTTTGAACCATTTTAGGTCAAAGATATGACCAAGGGGAGTTCAAGGATGAGTTTGGAGCAATTTTGGATGAGTTTGGGGCCCAGTGGACTCGACGCGTCGAGCCAAGGGCTCGACACGTCAAAATTTTTTGCTTTCAAGTTTTTGTGTTCTTATCTTATTTTATGCTTTCAAGTTCAGTTATTTACATTTGATTAAATAACCTAATTAATGAACACGATTGTTGCATAAAATAAAATCAAGTTGACGGTAAAAATGTTACCGGTAATAATAATATTAGAGTAACGGATTGTAACAATAGTTGAATTGCCTTAGTCTCAGTATAGAAAATACAGGGTGTCTTTGTCCAGAGTCTTCAACGTGTCCCCTCAAGCTGAGGGAAGCATCTACTTATACAAAGGTGCCAACGGTAACAACATGGGACATAAATGGGGAGCCAAGCCTTTAATTCTCTCTCATCAATGGTGGCATCAATGGTGGCTTCAATTGCAATAAATGTGACACCTGTTGGAATTCTGTCCGTTGGAGTTTTGCCCGTTAGGTCTCCCTGTGGTGCCGGGTCAAATATGGCGCCGGGTCAGATGCCCACTTATGATCCGGGTCGGGTGCCAGCCCTATTATCCTGTCACCAGTCCCCCCTACTCCTGAGTCTACGGATGTGTTTGAGTTGACTTGGGAGTAAGGCTGAATCTATCTTGAGACTGCGCAGAATCCTGAGTGATTTAGGATATGCGATTTTGTTTTCCAAATCCCACATGGTTTGTGCTTTCCAAATCCTTTCCCGCCTGAGCGGTTTGAGCACCTCTCTATCAGCTCTTGTCACCATCTGTCGGTTTCTGCGGTTTATCGTTACCATTTTTTTTTTGTGGCGTGGGCCGGCTTCGGGCTGGGGCACCGCCACAACTGGCCGAGGCACTGCGCTTTGGACACAGCCGAGGCATCGCCTCAGCCACTTGGCCGAGGCGTGCGCCTCAACCCTTCTTTTTTTTTTTTTTTTTTCTTTTTTTATGCTAGCTGAGGAGCAAGCCTCTAGCCGACCGCGACCGAGGTGTCGCCTCGATCGATCGTGGCCGAGGCGTCGCCTCGACCGATCGTGGCCGAGGCATGCACCTCGATCGCTCGTGGCCGAGGCGTCGCCTCGACCGATCGTGGCTTAGGCGTGTTAGTATGGCTAGTATTTTTATATTTATTATTTGTATAATATATAGTCATAGATTAGTGGTGGTAATTCTGTTTGACTTAGCTTTCTATTAGTTAGGATTAGTTAGAGATTAGTTCTACGATATACTCTGTAATCCTATCTTTTGTTCAATCAATCTGAGGTGAATTCACTAATCTGGTATCAGACACAGGTTATCCGATCCTCTCCAACCTCCACCACAAACTTTTTTTCCCCCTCTCACCCTCTTTCGCCGGCGACAACGCACGATGTCGACTTCTTCCGAGCGAACTGCTTCTGCTGCCGCCGGGACTTCTTCTCCGACCGTCGGAAATACGTTGTCTGGTGCACACCACTATATCACGATGAAGCTGACTCTCAAGAACTATCTATTCTGGAGGATGCAGCTCCTCTCTTTCCTCCGCGGCCAGGATCTCCTGGGCTTCGTGGATGGTAGCTTTCCATGCCCGCCGGCCACAATTCTCGGCACTCCGACGACCGGCGATTCGGCAACCACCTCGGCCGCGGGTGTAGCGGTCGTGAATCCGGCGTACCATGCCTGGGTTAAACAGGATCAAACCATTGTCTCCCTCCTCGTTTCGTCCATGGCAGATGAAGTCCTTCATCTTGCTCTTGGCCGGGAGACGTCAGCTGCCATATGGGCCTCCATCACCGGCGCCCTGGGATCCTCTAGTCAGGCTCGGTGTCTCACCTTATTGAGCCAATTCCAGATGTTACGTCAAGGGAATGCCTCCACTGCCGATTACCTCGGGAGAGCTGGTGTTCTCGTCGAAGCCCTCATCCAAGCTGGTCGCCCACTCACGCTGATGGAGCAGAACCTGTATGTTATTCGAGGTCTGCGACCGGAGCTGAAGTCCCTTGCGACGTCTCTCACGGCGACTGGAGCGGCGGTGACTCTAACGCATTTGTCCGATTTTTTACAGGCCCATGAGTTTATTCTCGTGGACGACTATCCGTCTCTTGATGCCGCAGGTTCACACACTGCCCTGTATGCCGGTACTGGTCGGGGCTCGCACGGCGGAGGCAGGCAGTCGCAAAACTCCCAGCAGCAGCGGGGTGGCCGGTCAGGCCGTGGTGGCCAGAACCGGGGAGGACGTGGTGGTCGCGGGGCGCCGAGATGCCAAATTTGCCGGTCACACGGCCATTCGGCGGTCTACTGCTACAAAAGATATACAACCTAACCACCGCAGCCTCAAGCGCACGTTGCCATGTCCGGTGAAGCTCCGGCGGCTCCAACCACTGTTCCGGGTGATGGGTGGTATCCGGACACCGGGGCCACCGCTCACGCAACTCCGGACCCGAGCATGTTGAGCCAGTCGGATGAGTATGGCGGTTCAGACGTTCTCAGAGTGGGTAATGGGGCAGGTTTGTCTATTTCGCGAATTGGTCGTGCAACTATCCCATCCTTGTCTAAAACATTATGTTTAAATAATATCCTGCATGTACCCAGTCTTTCCGTTCCATTACTCTCTGTCAATAAATTTGCAATTGACAACAACGTTTTTTTTGAATTTCATGCCAATTACTTTACTGTGAAGGACTCCACAACCAACACAATTCTGCTTAAAGGGCCAACATCGGGCGGCCTCTATAAACTCCCGGTGTCAAGACAAAATTTCGCGTTCGTCAGTTCCCGGGCTACTCCCACCACTTGGCACCACAGGCTAGGACACCCGCACAAGCAAGTCCTAAATAAAATTCTCCAAAAGTGCCCCGTCACACCTAATAAAGCTGCGTCAATCGAGTCGTGTACCTCGTGCCATCTCGGAAAGTCATCTAGATTTAAGTTGGATAGTGTTCAAAATTCCACTAAAAATGTATTAGATTTAATTTGGACTGATATTTGGGGGCCTTCCCCTGTATTGTCTATTAGTGGTTTTCGATATTTTTGTCTTTTTGTAGATGACTACTCCAGATTCTGCTGGTTTTATCCATTACGGGTAAAATCAGACATATATAAAGCTTTTGAGTCGTTTCGTGTCTTGGTAGAGCGGCAATTCTCGCGCTCTATCAAATCAATTCAATCTGACTTAGGGGGTGAGTACCGAAAACTTCACAAAATATTCCAATCTTTGGGAATAAATCACCGCCAATCCTGCGCATATACCCATGAGCAAAACGGCAGAGTAGAACGCCGCAATAGACATATTGTCGAGACTGGCTTAACTCTACTCGCCGAAGGAAAAGTACCCCATGAATATTGGGATTTTGCTTTCGAAACAGCAACCACCTTAATCAATTATTTACCTTCATCAGCCATTAATTTTGAAAGCCCATACACTCGCCTTTTTAATACGTCACCCCCATACACCTTCCTTCGTGTCTTCGGGTGTCGGTGTTATCCATATCTAAGGCCATATAACCGGCACAAGATTGAGTATCGCTCTACCCCGTGTGTCTTCTTAGGTTACCCACCGTCCTTTAGGGGATATAGGTGCACTGATCTAATTAGCGGAAAGACTTATATCTGTCGTCATGTCCGCTTTGACGAGTCTATCTTTCCCTTTGACACAGATTATTCAGCGCAAGTGCCTACCACACCGGCCTTACCGTGGGCGTCAGCGCCAATTGTCTCGGTCCCAACAGCTGCACCGGTTGAAACACCGGCCCCGCCCGGACCTGAGCCAATACCCCTGGCTCGTGAGTCACCACGGCTAGCTATAGCACATACTGCCCCGGTAAGAACAAGGAAACGACGTGCCCAGCCACAAAGTCGTGGTCATGTCATGCGGCTGCGACACATGACGAGGGGTACGGAGGAGCCATTCTAGGCTCTAACCGCGGTAACGGATCCCACATGCTATTCGCAAGCTGTGGGCCATGCACATTGGCGTGAGGCTATGGACCAGGAGTTCAACGCCTTATTGCATAACAACACCTGGCGGCTTGTCCCACCTAAGCCACACATGAACATCATCGGGTGCAAATGGGTCTTTCGCACCAAACGCACTGCTGATGGTTCTGTTGAGCGGTACAAAGCCCGCCTAGTGGCAAAGGGGTTTAATCAGGTAGCAGGAGAAGACTTCTTTGACACATTCAGTCCGGTGGTCAAACCGACCACAGTACGGATGCTTTTTTCCCTGGCTGTTTCCAACAGGTGGACATTGCGGCAGCTGGATGTGCATAATGCCTTCCTAAATGGGCATTTAGCTGAAACCGTGTACATGAAGCAACCCCCGGGGTACGAGGACCCCACCACACCGGGCCATGTGTGTCATCTACAACGGTCACTTTACGGCTTGAAACAAGCACCTCGGGCTTGGTTCAAGCGTCTTAATGACTTTCTCTTGTCTGCAGGTTTTAAGTCATCTAAAACCGACGTATCCCTGTTTTATTATGCAACTGGGGACTCCCGTGTGTTTTTGTTGGTGTACGTCGATGACATAATAATGATGGGCAATGATGTCAAGTTGGTGACTACACTTCTACAGCGACTGTCCACTACGTTCAAGATCAGGGATCTGGGATCTCCCGGCTTTTTCTTGGGCATTGAGACGATCAAGTCAGGTGACGGGTTTATTCTGTCTCAGCGTCGTTATATGACGGATCTCCTAGGGCGCTCAGGGATGTCTGATTGTAAACCCCTCACTACACCGGCTGCTGTCACTAAATTAGTCACACCTACGGAGGAACTGTTTGATAATCCGACTCAGTACCGTCGCATAGTTGGAGCTCTACAATACCTGACTATCACTAGGCCCGACTTGGCGTATGCTGTCAACCGATTGTGTCAATTCATGCACTCACCAACAGTAGACCATTGGGCTCTTGTGAAACGGGTTTTGCGTTACATCAAGGGAACTCTCGACTACGGCCTCCGGCTTGCCTCGTCTTCCTCGACCTGTATACATGCCTTCTCCGATTCGGACTGGGCTGGTTGTCCAGTGGATAGAAAGAGCACCAGTGGTTTTGCGGTGTATCTAGGGACCAACCTTATTTCCTGGCTGTCGAAGAAGCAACGTACTGTTGCTAGGTCCTCCACTGAAGCTGAGTACAAAGCCCTAGCAGATGTCTCCGCCGAGGTCACCTGGGTTGTGTCGCTTCTCCGGGAACTTGGGATGCATTCAGGCCACCCTGCGACGCTATGGTGCGACAATCTTGGGGCTACTTACCTTTGTGCCAATCCTGTATTCCACGCCCGCACGAAGCATGTCGAGATCGACTATCACTTTGTCCGGGACAAGGTTGCTTCAGGAGATTTCGTCGTCAATTATGTGTCTACCGCGGATCAGTTAGCGGATATCTTCACCAAACCTCTTTCAGCGTCAAGGTTCGCAACTTTACGGGACAAGCTCAATGTTGTCTCTCTACAACCTTGTGCTTGAGGGGGTGTGTTAGTATGGCTAGTATTTTTATATTTATTATTTGTATAATATATAGTCATAGATTTGTGGTGGTAATTCTGTTTGACTTAGCTTTCTATTAGTTAGGATTAGTTAGAGATTAGTTCTACGATATACTCTGTAATCCTATCTTCTGTTCAATCAATCTGAGGTGAATTCACTAATCAGGCGTCGCCTCGACCGATCGTGGCCGAGGCGTCGCCTCGACCGCTCGTGGCCGAGGCGTGCGCCTTGGCCAATCGTGGCCGAGGCGTCGCCTCGACCGATCGTGGCCGAGGCGTTGCCTTGGCCGATTGTGGTCGAGGCGTCGCCTCGGCCGATCGTGGCGGAGGCGTGCGCGTTGGCCGATCGTGGCCGAGGCGGGCTCGGGCCTATTGTTTTTTTTTTTTTTTTAAGGCCGAGGCGTTGCCTCGGCCTTTGGCTGAGGCGCCGCCTCCGCCATCTGGCCAAGGCCGAGGCGTTGCCTCAGCCCTATTTTATTATTATTATTTTTTTTCGCTGGGCTGAGGCGCCGCCTTGGCCAGGTTTGGCTAAGGTTGCCTTGGCCGTGGGCGCTGGCTGAGACGCGTGCCTCGACCTGGCCGAGGCGTGCGTCTCAGGCCATTTTTTTCGAAGGCGCTCCACGGATGCCGACAACGAACTTGCTTCAATAAACAACATGGGCGGACCATGAATACAAGATATTATTCCAAAAGATTTCATAATATAAAGCGGGCGGAACGCGATTACCACGCACTAGTCCCAAATGACTACCAGAATATTAAGGAAAATACTTAATCAAATATTCCGTGTTCCATACCCGATCGATCAGACTTGTAGATCCTTTCTGCCAATCTTTTTTCATGCTTTTACGTAACAACTGCGGGCTGCTCGCTGGTTTCCTCTGACGACCCTTATCCCATTCGGAGTAGGGAACTTCGTACACAAGTGTTCCACCGACACTATGGCCTTGAGGTTCTCCAGTGCCGGCCTCCCCAATATGATGTTGTGCGCGTATGTGAGTCTTACCACAATGAACTCTATGCCCAGCTTGAGAATGTTGGGGCTCGTGCTTATCTCCACGGACAGGGTCACCGACCCTTCTGTTTCCACCGAATCCCCATTAAACCCAGAGAGTGGAGTTCGTACCTCTTTGAACTGGCCTCTAGGTAGCCCTAACTTGGTGAAGGCGTCGTAGTACATCACATTGACCGAGCTTCCCGTGTCGACCAAGATGCGATGTACGATCATGTCATTGATGTCCATCTTAATTACTAGTGCGTCGCGATGGGGTAAGGGGCCCTCGGGGAGGTCCTCGTCAAAGAAAGTGATGGCCTCCGGCCTCTGCTTCTTTCCTTTGGGAAGACTTAACACTTCTCCCATGTACAGTTGTCTGCTCCACTTCTTCCTCTCTGTGGGTGTGTCTCCCCCGGCAGGTCCACCATAGATAAAGTGTATGGTGTGCTTCTTTTGTCGTCTAGGCGCCACCTCGGTTTCCTTCTCTCTATCATCCTCCTCAAATATTTAGTCGTGTTCTCTTTTCTTGGCGTTTGAGGTAGACGGCTCGACGCCAACCTCCTTCCTCCAGACATTTTTTGGTGGATCGTGTTGCGGCTGTTGTTGCTACTTGGATCGCTTGAGAAAATGTCGGAAGTAACCCTGATAGATGAGTTCTTCTATTTGTCTCTTCAGCACGTTGCATTCATCCGTGTCGTGCCCGGGTTGCCTATGGAACCTGCAGTACTTTGTTTGGTCTCCTTTTAGGGAAACCTTCATGCATTCTGGTGGGAACTCCACTATTCCCATCTCCTCCGCCTGTTTTAGAATGACAGTGACGGGATGGGTAAGGGGAGTTAAGT